AGCTCTACTACTGGGACAAAAAAAAAGCGGGGGAGGAGGGGAAGCTACCAAGAGATTAATGGGATTATTGCCTTTATTTTTTTGGTGCTGGGGATTCAATACAGGGTCTTATGCATATTCAGCACACTTTCCCATTAAACACCCCTCCTAGTTTCCTAAAGGAGTGTAATGTGGCTCTTTGATCTTTTTGCAACATGAGGACATAGCAGAAATAGCAATGAAGAAGCAGAACATGATTCTTACCAGTTATCAAAGCTATATTTAGGTAATGATTTTTTAAAATAATTTCATTATTTTATTGTCACTTTAGAGGTGTTAATACAGCATGGTTACCTTTTCATTTATGAGATAATAAATACATTTCCTTCCTTTTGTATAGTATCATATGTTCCCTCATTCTCTCCCATTCCCTCCCATCTCTGCCCACAGGTTGCTTGGTGCAGTCTGTGGGCCTGCTGCTGCACTTTTTCACATTTTCCACTCATTCTGTGCTCTCCCCCCACCTTCCTCAGATATGTATGTGTATACATTGTATATGAGGTAAAGAATAGAGTCATCAGAGAATGAAAAGGTCCTTTGTTTCCTTATCTTTTGGAGTTTGTTTCAATATGTATATTATTTTATATACATATAGAGGTAATTGGGTATTACAACTTGTTGATTTTCTCCTAAGACTATCTTCTTTTGGTCCTACTGTGAGTGTCTAGAATCCTGTATAATTTGTAATATCCCATTGCGTTTTTAATCTAACTTCTACATATGAAGGAGAACATTTGCCATTTGTCTCTCTGATCTTGGCTTACTTCACTCAACATGATTTGTTCTAGTTCCACCTATTTCTCTGCAAATGACATTATTTTATCCTTTCTAATGGCCGTGTAAAATTCTATTGTATATAGGTACCACATTTGTTTTGGATCCATTCATCTATTGTGGGGCATCTGGGTTGTTTCCCTATCTTAGTTATAGTGAATACTGCGGCAATGAACATGGATGTGCAGGTGTCCTTTTCAGAGCCTGGCTCTTGATGTCCATGGTAGATGCCTGGGAGTGGTAGGGTTGAGTTATAGGGAAGGTCTATGTTTAGTTTTTTGAGCAACCTCCAGACTGTTTTCCAGAGTGCTTGTGTAAGTTTGCATTCCCACCAGCAGTACAGTATGGATCCTTTTTCTCACTTCCACAGCAACATTTGTTGTCCAAATTCAGACTATTGGCCAGTCTAACTGGGGAAAGATGGTATCTCGGGGTTGTTTTGAGTTGCATTACCTTTATGGACAGGGATGATGAGCACTTCCTCATGTGTTTCTTTGCCATTCTTACCTCTTCTTCTGAGTATGCTTTCCTTAGCTCTCTTACCTATTTAGTGATTGGTTTATTAGGTTTGGGAGGGGTTAGTGTCTTGAGTTCCCTGTATATATTGGATATTAGGCCTTTGTCTCACATATAGCTGCTGTTTTTCTAGTTTAGTAGCTATGTCCTTAACTGTACAGAAACTTTTTATTTTAATGTAGTCCCATTTGTCGAGTCTCTCTCCTATCTGTTATGCCCCCTAGGACTCTAGGTAATGATTTTTTTTAATGGCAATAATATAATAAATGAACTTAAGAGATGCATACCTACTTTTTCTGAAGGGCTCTCAAAGCACACCATAAAACTCTTTCTCCTCCACCACCAGCATTGCAATATGGATGAAAAAATGCAATCACCATCTGCTTTCTCCCATTTTTGCTGGTTGATAATGACATTTTCTTCCTTTGTAGCATCAGTCTGATTCCACACAGGACAAGGACTAAACATACACATAAAGCTCCACATACAATTAGTCCCGGGAGGAACAATGAATAAAAAAACCTGGAATAAGAAGGAAAGTTCAAAACCACTCAGATGCTCATTAAAAAATAACATAAGTTAAAGTCTAGTTTACATACTTAGTTTATATATAGTAGCACAGAGAATTTTTGTAGTTTGCAAGATTATTTACACTTTTCTTTCTTTTTCCTTGGTGATCTTTGGGACCAAACCCAGGACCTTACATGTTAGGCAAGAGCTGTACCACTGGGCTGTATATCCAGCCCAACAATAGTTAATTTTCTTGTGCATGTACCAGTCCTGGGGCTTAAATTCATGGCCTGGGCACTCTCCCTGAGAGTTTTTGCTCAATACTAGCACTTGAGCCACAGCTCTATATCTGGCATTTTTGGTAGTTTAGTAGAGATAAGAGTCTTATTCTAACTTGCTTAGCACTGCAAGATGGTTAAAGACATAATGAATCTAATAGTTTGGCATCCCTACCTTGCGTTACATTAAGGCAGTTTTATTTACTGTCAGTGTAAATGTCAACATAGAGAAAAGACATGCCTAACATGTGCCTGGCCAAGAGTTCAATTTCTAGCTTACCTCCCCTCTCCCCACACTAGGTTTACCTATATTTAAACAGAAAACTGAAAAAAAAAGTAACTGTAACCAGCAGTGAGTCACTCCTTTAGAAAATAGCAAATACAATGTACAAAGCACTAAATCAGGAATATCCCATATGGCAGGGGATAACATGAAGACTGAGAACAAACCTTTCTACTCAGAGTATTTGAATATTCATTATTGAACTTGAAGTAGAATGGATAAAAATAAATAACAAATACCTGAATATGTATAAGAAACTACTATTCTTGCTTGTTATTCAGGAAATTATTTTCTAATTATAAAATTTCAATCTGTAAAAGCTCATGCCTAGATCCTAGCTACTCAGGAGGCTGAGATTTGAGAACCACAATTTGAAGCCAGCCCAGCCAGACTGTCATCTTCAATTATGTAGAAAAAGACAGAATTGAGGTTAGGGTTCAGATGGTAGAGTACCAAATATAAGATGAACTTGAGGTCCTTAGTTTAAGTCCCAGTACTGGCCCACAATTTATTTTAATTTTTTTGTTGGTCGTGAGGCTTAAACTCTGGGCCTGGGCGCTGTCCCTCAGCTCTTCAGCTCAAGGCTAGTGTTCTACCACTTGAACCACAGTGCCACTTCTGGTTTTCTGGTAGTTAACTGGAGATAAGTGTCACAGAGACTTTCCTGCCCGGGCTGGCTTTGAACCGAGATCCTCAGATAGCCTCCTGAGCAGCTAGGATTACAGGGGTGAGCCACCAGCACCCGGCTCACAATTTTTTTTAAACCTCAATAAAAATATGTAGGTGTTAGACAAAAAAAGAACCTAGGAGATAGCATTGAGCATAATGACATATAAAGGGGACAAGCAGGAAGGATCCTGAGTTGGAGGCTGTCTCAAAACAACAACAACAACAACCAAACCAACAACAACAACCAAACCAAGCAAGGCCAAACCAAAAGAGTTAGAAAGCTAGAATATCAAAGATACTCAGTTTGTTCAGTGGGAAAAAGCATTAGATAAGGTGATGTTAGGGAAATGAACCCTGAGATATGTATTCAAATGTTTTTTTTTCTTTTTTATGATTGTTTCTAACACATTTATAAGATTATTTCTTTGTTGCTTTGTATGTCCCTCCCCCACAGTATAACCCCTGCTTTCACTGTATTTAATGTCGGTATAATTTGTGGAGGGGAAGGGGAAAAACAAATCGTTTAAATAGGGATGCAGGTGGACCCATTGCAACAATGAGATGTACAAGTCGTTATATCGAAAACGAACTTTACAACTTTGGTGGAGGGGGGGGAGGGCTTGGGGGGAGAGCGGGGAGGATGGGGGGAGGGGGGAGGATGGGAAGGGAAGGATGGGAAGGGGAAACAAAGGAGGAGGCTACAGTGCTTGTTAAGAAATGTGCTCATTATCTTACCCATGTAATTGTAACCCCTCTGTACAGTATTTTCACAATAAAAAAATACTATGCAAAAAAAAGCATTTACAATAATTTTATAACAAAGGTTAGAAAAGTCAGTTTTCCCACCAAAATGTTAGCAGCTGTTATCACCAGATGGAAACATTCTTGGTGGCTTTTCCTTTTATTTATCTATGTTGTAACTGTCCTAGAAGAAACTGTATTACATAAAATTATTAAAAAATGATAAAAAAAAAGAAGGCAATATTTTATAACTACTTTTACATCAATGAGAAAATAAAGCAGTGGATCGTCAAGAAACCCAGAACATATATGTTATAATTAAGTGACACGTATTAACCAAAATAGTCTGGGTGAGTTAAACAAACAAACAAGTCCAGAAGGAAGAACTAGCTTCTTAGCCGAAGACAGAGGCATCATGGATTGGAAAAAACACACTCGTGGCTCCATCCTAGAGGGAAACGGGGAAGGAAGATCAGGAATTTATGAGGGACAAAATGGACTGCGAAGAGGAGAAAGAAAAGGCAGAAACAAAGCTGGGAACTGTCGCTAGCCAGCAGGGGGGCAAGCGAGAAAGCTGCGGTAAACTGAGTCAAAGACCTAGCGGTCTCCCACCTATCTAGGAGACCCCGAAGGGAGAGGAAGATCTTCCCACTTGGCCTGACCCAATCTCCTAAAATCACATCAAGGAAGGCCATTCTCCTGCAAACTTAAGCTGCACGCGAAAAGAAAATTACCACCAAAAAACCAGGTCAAGGTTGTGAGTCCACGCCCCGTGTTACTCACCGCAATAACTCGCACAAGCACCAGCTCCCAGTGGTAGCCGCCATCTTTAGCCGACCCCGGAACTCAGGAAGCTCTCGGCCGTTCCTCTTCTCTATTGGCTCCTGAGGAAATAACGGCGTGCTATCCCCGCCCTCACGGACCTCTTTACTTTGCAATTGGTCCCTGGCAGCAGCTTCCCATGGCCTTTCAGCCAATAGGCTCTACCGAGGCGTAGACAAAATTTCCGTCCGGCGCGCATGGGTCCCGCCCCCTTGGTAGGAGTTGGGCTGTGCAGTGGGGGCGTGGCCTGTGATGGACAGCCAGCACTCCCGCCCTCTCGCCCTTCCCCACCACCCACCGTGAACTCCCCCCTCCTCCTCCCGGGAGTACCCCCATCCCCTGCCCCAAACCGGTCTCCTGTTGAACAAATGGGGCCGCCCTGGCTGGTCGCGGATCGATCTTCGAGGTGCCGCAGCGGTCGCTGGCTTTGCCACCTGCGGCGTCCCGGAGTCGCGCGCACAGTCCGTGAGGGGGCTGCGCGGAGTTGACGCCGAGTCGTCCCCTCAGGCAGTGGCCGCACCCGGGGACCTGCGTCTCGGGTCCGGGGCTGCGCCTCTCGCCGGCTTTTCCCTCACGGCACTCGGCTGGGGCTCCGAGGACCCAGTCGTGAGCGCATCTGCCCCAGGTAGCGGAGACCCGGGGCTGGGGAGGGGCCGGCTCCCGTGGGGACACTGAGGCAGGGGTCGGCGCGGCCCGGGGTGTGGGGGGGATCGGAGGCCCGGCCGCCCGCCCGCGCCGCGCGCGAACCCCCGGATCCCACACGAAGGGGTGTGTTAGACGAGTGGCCGGCAGGTGCGGGCATGTCCGCTTCTCTTCTCCCGGGAATAATCCCCGCCTTTCTCCTCCCCTGACCAGGTAGGTGACCTTTGGGCTCCCTGCGGGATCTGGGAAGACGTTGGCGTGTGTGGAGAATGATGCCTGAGCGGGAGAGTCTGATTTCAGCCAGCGAAGAGCCTAGCCGGGAGGTAAGTGGCCTTAACGCCCTGCCCACGCCGCCGTCGCCACCCCTGCCCGGAGGGCTTTCTGTCCCGCCTGTCGCTGCAGCCTGGCTCGCGCAGGTGCGCTGGGCACCGGTGCGCGGGACTCAGCTCTTGCTCTAGTGGCTTGGGGAGGAAAGCACTCTAGAAAGGGCACTGTCCCTGGCCCGCTGGTGTTGAGGAACAGTTTGAAAACCTAGCATTTTCCCATTCACCTTTCCCCTTTTAAGGGGTCTGATGCCTGCCAGGCAAAGAGCGGGAAGTTGCTGTGTGATTCGGTGCAGAAGTTATTATCGTTGGGTGGCAGATCCAGACTATCCAAGTCCTGTGGTCTGTCCAAGTCAAGTGGTCTATCCAAGTCCTGCCATGTTTTCTTTATTATTTTTTTTAATGCAGTCTTTTAAAAGTAGAATACTTTGCAAGACAAGACAACCTTTTCCAGTCCTTTTCTTCATGTACTACTGCCTTCATTCACCAAACATTTATTGAAAACTTAGTATGTTGAAGAGTTTGGTAGAGTTGTTGACAACCTCCCCCTCCCCCACTCCCGCCACTCCCCACACACACGGGAAGAGAGAAACCTATAGGTTTCTTCCTGTGTTGTTTTAAAATGCTCAGTTTTACCTGAATGAAATCACGTGTTGTTGTAGTTTTTTTTTCCATTCACACTATATTTTGGAATTCGCTCCACTAAGTATCTCAGTTTAGCCTTCTCACAGATGTATCATGGTTTATTGACCTCCTGTGGGTGGATGTTTTGAGTGCCTTACCCCCCTCTTTCACAAGAGGACACGATCTTTGTATTTGATTTTTAATACAAACATGGAATGTTTCTTTAGGATATAGAATTAATGGACTCAAGAATAGGTCACTTCTTTTCTATACACTTGAAATTAATTTATTGATATTGTTGAGTCTATTTAGTAGTGAAATTCATCTAGGCTGGTGGGTAGAAATGAAATATAAGTGGATTCATGGATAAGCAGAGAGGCTGGTGAGTAGGTGACTCTTTGTGGCATGAGACTTCATTTGATCAAGGATGTGAAGACAGCATACACTGGGGAGGGGTGGCTGGAGCAGAGGAGATAATTCCAACTGTCTGCAGTGTCTTCATCTAGATAGAAAAATCTTTGTACTTCCAGATCAGCCTCAAGACTTGCCCCCTCCTTGAAACCTATATATCTCCTGCCCTCATTGACCTCATTCTGTTCTGGATTCCTTTGATAGTAGCCAATATGAGCTTACTATGTGTTACACATTGTATTAAGTACTTTATATCCCTCTCTGTGCACTCTCTCATTTAATCCTCACAATCCCCATTTCACCCAGTTTTTTATTTATTTATTTTTCCAGTGCTGGGGATCAAATCCAGGATCCTGTGCTCATATGCTGTTATCATTGACCCATACACCCAGCCTTAAAACCCTTTAACATAGATTTTTCTTCTTGTTGTTAATTTTGTGCTAGGAATCAAACCCATTCTACCAACAAACTTTTCTTGGAACCTGTTAAGATAGTAGCTTCAGTAATCATCATTTGTGCAGCAAATAACTTTTAAAGTACTCCCTATCAGGAATTGTAGACACTGGGAATCCCATTATGATCAAGATCTTTCCTTTAGAGACTTTGCATCCTAATAAGAGATCCTGATAGGGGTGGCAGTGGAGGGGGAGATGGATTGGATGTGGGGGTGGGGTAGTTGTGGTGTGTGTGTAACCAATAAATAGTGTTATTTCTGATATTGCTGAGTGTGTGGAAGCTAGTAAAGCTGAGTAGGAGCATAAGAAAAGGTCTGAGTTTTGAGTAGAGCCCTTGATAGCCTACATTTCAGGCGAGTATGCTGGGGAACTGAAAGTGTCTAAGTCCTAATACAGGAATGCATAATAAATATGTATTTGATCTTTGTCCTAGGTTCCTGATACAATGCCAAACCCTTGGCATTTCCTAAGTGGTTGTAGTAGTGATAGGAATATTTTGTTGTTGTTCATAAGTTTTCATAATACCTAAATTCTGCTAGTGACAGGGCCCTTGATGAGCCCCTAGAATCTAGACCTCAGTCTAGATGTCAGAGGAATCACTTACATTACTAGGGAGTTAGAACTTTCGGCCCCATCCTCCAACCTCTAGAAAGGTGCTAGGGATTGTAGTTGAGTTACTCACCAATGGTTGATGATTTGATCATGCCTACAGAATGTAACCTCCATAAAAACATCAAATGATGGGCTTGGTAGACATATTGAGGCTCTGGGAGGGTGGCTTGCCTGGAAGGGCATGGCAGCTCTGTGTACCTGGCTCCTACTGCTTGCCCTGTGTGTATCCTTAATGAAGAACTGGTAGCTAGGTGCTGGTGGCTGATGCCTGTAATCCTAATTACTCAGGAAACTGAGATCTGAAGATATCAGTTCAGTGTCAGCCAAGCTCAAAGACTCTATCTCCAATCAACCAGCAAAGATGTCAGAAATGGAGGTGTGGGTCAGGTGGTAGAGTGTCAGTCTTGAGAGAAAAAAAAATAAAGGAGAATGAGATGCTGTGAGTTCAAGTCCCAGTATCAGCACAAAAACACAAACAAAAAAAACTGGTAATAGGTCAAGTGCTTTCTTGAGTTCTGTAATAACGTACTAGCAAATTATCCATCCTGAAGTTGTGGCAAACCTCTGAATTTATAGTTGGTCATTCATAAGTTCAAGAGTCCTTGGGGACTGATGTCAACAGTTGAGGCTGTCTTGTGGGACTGAGTCTTTATCTTGTGAGACCAGTGCTAACTTAAGATAGTGACAATGGAATTGAGTTGCTGAGCCCCAGTTGTCTGCAAAGTGGGAAAATTGGTTGATAGGAAAAAAAGCTCATTATTTTAGGGGTCAGAAGTAGTGAGACTGGAAACAGAACAGAAGGGGTGTTCTTAGTGTTTGAGGAACAAAAAAGAAGTAGAGGGGTGTGAGTAGTGGGAAGAGGGGGAAACCATAGAACCTGAGATTAGAATTCATCACTTTAAAAGTGGGGAAACTGGAAGCAGGAGTGACCTAGTGGGCCTTGAGTGTCTTGCTAATAAGAGGTAGACATAAGGTTGAATTATCCAGGCCTGTGAGGCTTTCTCCTAGAGTCACTTGATACTTGATTATACTACCTGTTATTTTCATCAAAACTAACAAATACAGCTATTTTTTTTTTTTGGCAATTCTTGTGTTTGCACGTCCCTCCCTCCCTTCCTCCCTGCCTCCCTCCCTCCCTCCCTTCCTCCCCTCTCCCTCCTTCCCTTCTTCCCTCCCTCCCCCCTCCTTCCCCCCCTTCTTTCCTTCCTTCCTTCCTTCCTAATCCACAGGCTATAAAATCCCAGGTTCTTGTGGAAGTGCTTTACTCAGTCCCTCATTTTTCTCCATAGATGACATCTTACATCAAGGAAACCAATTGTATTATTGGATGTGCTTGACTTCTTACATCAAGGAAACCAACTCTATTAGATGTGCTTTCTCCAACCTTCCATCCAACTTTACCTATTTTCTCCCCAATTTTATTTAGACCTCACATTTATTTTAGACCTATTATTTTATTTCAACCTATTTTGGTTTGTGTTTGTCTTTTTGAAATAAGGCTCATTATGAAGCCCAGGTTGGCCTAGAACTCACAATCTTTACAGCTTTGCAGTGCCTGGATTATAGGCATGTACTGTATAACCTGCTTTTATCTCTATCTCTCTAGACTCAGAAGACAGGCAAGCCAGCCTTCTTACCAAGGTCATGCCCTTTGTCAGTATCTTTGACCCCTTCCTCCCACCTATGTAGCCTTTATTTGCTTCTAGGCTTTCTCTTTCTGAACCTGTGAAACCATTCACTTTACTTTTTGTTTTTAAGTTTTTTTTCTACATTTCCTTCTTCCTTAATCTTATAGAAAGAATAGACTGCACTGTTTGAAGGATGACTTTTAGGTTTTCCTTCATTATGATATGTTTTTTGGCTATAAAAGAAATATATAAAAACACTCATATGCAATTTAAAAGAAAATAGGGAGGGCTGGGAAGGTGGCTCAGTGGTAGAGCGCTTGCCTTGCATGCCTGAGGCCCTGGGTTCAATTCCTCAGCACCACATAAGAAAAAAGAAAAAAGCCAGAAGTGGCTCTGTGGCTCAAGTGGTAGAGCACTAGCCTTGAGCTGAAGAGCTGAGGGACAGCGCTCAGGCCCAGAGTTCAGGCCCCATGACCGGACCCCTCCACCCCCCAAATAAAGAAAATAGGGAATACTCTGTATCTCACCTGATCCAGAATAAGAACATTATTCAATGTCATGACTTCCACCCAACCTCTCACTTTCTTTCTTTCTTATCTTTCTTTCTTCCTTCCTTCCTTCCTTTTTTTCTTTCTTTTTCTCAACTTCTCACTCTTTCTTTCCCTCTTTCTTTCTCTCTCTCTCTCTCTCTCTCTCTCTCTCTCACTCTCTCTCCCTCCTTCCCTCCCTCTCCCTGCCCCCCCCCTTTCTTTCTTGGTGTTGGGGATATGGTACTCAGTGTTTTGCACATGCTAGGCAAATGCTCTGTCACTGAGCCATACTTCAATCCATTTTCCTCATATTTTTCACATAGAAGTTCCTCCAGAGAAGCTAGGATTAAAGGCATGAGCCACCAGCACCCATTTGTCAATTGTTATTTTAATGCTCTTTACTATGGTTTTAACTGTTTTGTCCTTTCAAATTAACATTGATGCTTAATCCGATGCAGCATTAGCAAGAGCTGTGGCCTGTGATTGAACTATGAATGTGGAACTCTTGTGAATGAGATTAGGTATCCTTTTTATTTTTTGAAAATTTTTTCCTTATTCTTATTGTTATTCTTATAATTTGCCAGACCTGTAGCTTGAATTCAAGGCCTAGGTGTTGTTGCTGAGCTTTTGTGTTCAAGGCTAGCCCTCTACCACTTGAGCCACAGCTCCACTTCTGGCTTCTTTTGATAGTTAATTAAAGATAAGTTAATAGGCCTTTCCTTCCTGGGCTGGATTTGAACTGTGATCCTCAGATCTCAGCCTCCTGAGTAGCCAGGATGTGAGCCATTGGTGGCCAGCAGGTGTCCTTTTATGAGGACACTTTCAGCAGATGGAGATTAGCAAGATCGTGGAGACCAGTCTGTGCAAGAAGTTACCAGTACTCTATCACAACCAATAAATGTATCTGTAATCTCAGCTAGTGGGAGGAAAGGGTAGCATGAAGGATTGTGGTTTAAGAAAGGCTCTGAGAAAAAGCCTTAGACTCTATCCAAAAAGTAAAGCATGAGATCCTAAGTACTATCAAAAATAAGCAAATAGGGGCTGGGAAGGTGGCTCAGTGGTAGAGCGCTTGCCTTGCATGCCTGACGCCCTGAGTTCGATTCCTCAGCACCACATAAGCAAAAAGAAAAAAGCCAGAAGTGGCGCTGTGGCTCAAGTGGTAGAGCGCTAGCCTTGAGCTGAAGAGCTGAGGGACAGCGCCCAGGCCCAGAGTTCAGGCCCCATGACCGGACCCCCCCAAATAAATAAATAAAACCTAATGATGGAGAGTGTTTTCCCCTTTCTCTCCCTTCTTTCCTTTCCACCAGTGAGGATATGATTCCTACTCTAGGGTGAACACAGCAACAAGGTGCCATCTTACCAGAGAGTAGCCCTTACCAGAGGCTGACTGACCTGCTGGTGCCTTGACCTTGGACTTCCTACCTCCCAGAACTGTGAGAAATAAAATTCTATTTTTATAAGTTACCTATTCTTTGTTACTTTGTGATAACTGTACGAATAGACCAAGGTTGGTGCTGAGAGATATAATAAATGCAACAGGTATTCTGAGAAGTATAACAAGTATAATAAGGACCTTAGTGGAAGCTGGAAGAATGTGGAGGAGAAAAGGCTGAGATTGCTGTAAACAGTGTTCAGGGTGAGGACTTGGAATGAGTGTAGACAGAGCCTGAATCTTCTTACAAATTACCAATGGTCATAACCCAGTTAGTGGTAGATGGAGACAGAAGTAAGAAGTACATATTGTAGGGGCTGATTAGGTTCTCATTGGTAGAGCGCTTGCCTTGCATGCCTGAGGCCCTGGGTTTGATTCCTCAGCACCACATAAGCAAAAAGTAAAAATCCGGAAGTGGCGAGGCCCTGGGTTCGATTCCTCAGCACCACATAAGCAAAAAGAAAAAAGCCAGAAGTGAAGCTGTGGCTCAAGTGGTAGAGTGCTAGCCTTGAGCTTAAGAGCTGAGGGACAGTGCCCAGGCCCAGAGTTCAGGCCCTATGACCGGACCCCCCCCCCAAAAAAAAGTACATATTGGAGACTGGAGGAAGGCCATCCTCATTACAATGGGGCAGAAAACATAGGTGACCTCTGTCTATGTCCTAGGAAAATTGTCCAGTCACACCACTTGCTCCTATATGTGGAATAAAGTAACACAGTGAAACTAGCATTTCAGTACAGGTTCAGCAGTCTGTACTGGACTTGGGCTTTTAAGTTTTTTAAACAAAGAACTTGAAAAGAGGGAGGGAGGTATGCATAATGATTAAACATTCCCAGTCTCTGGGAAAGGCCTGGTTCACATTTATCTCAGTCTTTTACTCTGGAGGAGGTGCCAGAGAAATGATCCCTTCTTTACTTGGGGGAGGTGGGAACAATTTAGTCCCTGTTACATGGTGAGTGGTCTGTCTTGAACTTTTTGCTGTTCTCTTCCATTGTGGCATTTTGCCACGTGCCATAAGATGATAAGAAGGCTGCAGTGTAGCTAATGTGGTAGAGTGCCTGTCGAGCAAGCTGGAGACCATAAGTTCAAACCTCAATATGAGAGCAGGGTGGGGGAGGCATTGCCTGTCTAGGTGGCGGTTTGACTAGTGTCACAAGCTGCTTATCAGTAAATCCTGTCCTTCCTGGAGCCCAAAGTGATAGCAAAGTGATTTCAGGAAAGAATGACTCAGATCAAAGGACACAGGTGCAAAATGAAGGCTGGTGCCTCCTTGTTCATTCTACTTCTAGTTAATTTATGGGCCCAGCAAAAGCAGCTTTAGGTATCGCTTACACCAGTGCTTTGTGGAAGGTGGAACTGTGAGTTAAGAAATCTGGCTGGGGCTGGGAAGGTGGCTCAGTGGTAGAGCGCTTGCCTTGCATGCCTGAGGCCCTGGGTTCGATTCCTCAGCACCACATAAGCAAAAAGAAAAAAGCCGGAAGTGGCGCTGTGGCTCAAGTGGTAGAGCGCTAGCCTTGAGCTAAAGAGCTGAGGGACAGCGCCCAGGCCCAGAGTTCAGGCCCCACGACCGCACCCCCCCAAAAAAAAAAAAGAAATCTGGCTGAACAAATTCTTAAACAATGTGTGCAGGGTGTTGATAGTTTCTCTTGATTGCTTATTGTAAAATCTAGAAGAGGAAACAGAACTTAAATGGAAAATTCTCAGCCTGACTAGGCTGAGAAGAATAAAAAGGTGTGCTTGAGCGAAAATACTAACAGTGTGGCCAATAAACATTTGATGAGGAGATTAGCCTGAGTGGAAGGAAGCCAGATACAATTCCAGATTGTGGTAGAAAGATCCTGAAGGCATTTCAGGCTGCCACTCCCTCTATAGTCCTTGAGAGACCTGGCTTTGAGGGTAGAAAGTTCCAGAATCAGGAGCCCAAGGAACCTTTGTGTCATTGGGGTTAGTTACCCAGGGCCACCTAAAATCTCTCCTCCATGTATTCCAGTGTAATGCTTATTGGACATGCCAGCACTAGCTTAAGTGAGCTCAAGTGCTCAGGTATACCTCCTCCTGCCACTTAGGAAGGGTCCAAGCTGGAAACTTTGGCACTGTTCCTGTGGTGCTAACAGTAGGTGTGCTGAGTGCAAGGGTGCTAGACTCATGATACCTCTACCTAGATCAAAGGATGGCCTTCAGGGCCATCCCAGAGAGCCTTAGGTGGAGAGAACCTCTAGGTGGCGATGTGGAGGTGGGACTGACTGACTCGGGCACTCTGAAACTAAGCTAAGCACACTCCAAACCCAGTGTGCCAGAAGGTAGACATAACATCAAAGATTCTTCTCAAGCATTACAACTTAATTTTGGGGTGGGGAGTAGCTTAAAGATAACATATATGTTCTTCGTGCACACAATTCCCGGGTTTATTCCAGGACTCAGAAAATAAAAGATTTAATATTTGCTCTCCTAGGTGTTAGTCTTACTTGAGGGCTGGAGATATAGCTCACTGGTGGCAGAGTACCTCCCTAGCCTGCTTGAGATCCCTAGCCCTGAAAAAAACCCACCTATTTTAAGATCTGTTTGCTATTTTGAATCAGTCTGTCATCATTGCTTTGTAGTAAGTTTTGAAACTGAGGAAACTCAATTCTTCTGTATTGTTCCCTTTTAAGATTATCATGGTTATTCTGGGTCTACAAAAATTTCAGTATCACAGGTCGACCCATTGCAACAATGAGAAGTACAAAATGTTATGTTGAAAAAAGAACTTTACAGCTTTGGCTGGGGAGAGGGGGCAGGTGGGGGGGGGGGGGTGGGCAGATGGGAAGGGATGGGAAGGGGAAACAAAGGAGGAGGCAACAATACTTGATAAGAAATGTACTCATTACCTTGCCCATGTAATTGTAACCCCTCTGTATGGTATTTTCACAATAAAAAAAAATTTTAAAACCAAAAAAAGAAATTTCAGTATCAGTTTCTATAAAGAAGTTACCTGATATTTTGAACAGCTCAACATTTATTGCAAATGAGCCCAGTACCTTAGAGAAAGATTAGAAACATTTGCTTTACCTGCCTGGTTTTTCCCTGTAGGCAGAATTCCTAAACTGAGGGTTTGTACCTGGGCTTCTCTCTGAGGGAGTCTGAAGGCATTAGGAACTCAGGGTCCCAAGGAGAGCTTTGGGCCTAAGTTCTGATAAGCTTCCTGGTATGAAACCACTGCCCTGTGAACTAGGGCTAGGGGCAGTGGGCCTTAGAGATCTTTGTGCACTGGGTCCAAGGTGGAACTTTTGTTGCATATGAACAGTGAGTGATAGGTAGAACAAGGGAGCCATCACCTCTTAGCTGCATTTGTCTGGTACTTAGATTCAGCATCAGACAGCTTAAAAAACTGAGGACTTAACTATTCTGGGGAGAGAGGCCTCTATCTGGGAACTGGGGGCTAGGGAGGGCGTGGGGATGGGAGTAAGGATTCCTGTGCTCCAGGCTGTACAGCCTGTACCTGCTTGGAATATAGCTGCCAGCTCACTGACTTGGGAATATAAAGATGAGAAGATAGGTCAAATTTCATTGTTCTCACTAAATTTCAGTAGATTTTCTTGAATAAAAGTTTTTTCATGTGCTATGTCTTTAGGACGGACCTCTTATAGACTAAATTTTCACCAGTCCATAGAGCTTATACTTCATGCTAGTAATTCCTACCCCTCCAGTGCATTTGAGAGTTATATCAGTTAGAATTATGTTCTATTTAACTGTTTGAAACAGGAAATTCAGGGCAATAGTGAAGTATGCAAGATTTTATTGCATATAATTCATAGTTAGACCCGTTATCCATTGCATAACTGGCCCACCTTAATTTTATTGCATATAATTCTAAATATTGCCAGGTTCTGGTGGCTCTTGCCTGTAATCCAAGCTATTCAGGAGGCTGAGATCTGAGGCTTGCAGGTCCAAGCCAGCTCAAACAGGAAAGTCTTATCTGCTCCATTTAACCACCAAAAAGCTGGTGGTGGAGCTGTGTCAAGTGATGGTGCTCTAGCCTTGAACACAAAAGTTCAGGAACTGTGCTCCGGCCCTGAGTTAAAGTCTTGGGACTAGCACGTGCGCACACACACACACACACACACAAAAGCAAAAACAGAAACTATATCCCCAGGACATTTGAAAAGTTGGCTGAAGTCAGGAATATTTGGCCTTTGTGGATGGGCCATGAGCTCTTTCTGTGGCCTCTCAGTCACTCCACTCTGTTAGGTCTCTGAGACCCAGGAAATGACTTGAGCTGAGACTCTGGGCTTGGAAGGATACAGGGACCAGTAAGGGAGGGGAAGACCTGACACCTTCTTAAGTTCAATATTTGTCTGAAACTTTAGGAGTCCATTTTTTCAGTAAGTAAACATATAAGTTGTTTTTGTCTCACATTTTCTGTCATTGAGTATTGAGAACCTCTTAGCATCAAGCACTGTTGTAGTGCTGAGAATTCAGCAAGGAATTGAACAACCACTTGGTTGCAAAAGACCTCTCTAGGATAGAAGTAAGAATCAGTGCCTAGTCAGCTGCCTGCTCATAGTTTTAGCTCATTCTTTGTCAACTGTGAAGAGCTAGGCATCGGGAAAGAGACCATTAGAACTTAAAGTATACATTAGTGGAGTTTTTCATGTGGATGCCAGGTGATGAGGGCAACCAAGAAGTTGAAGGTGCATGCACATAATAAATTGTGAAATTAAAACATTGCCTTTAAGTATTAGAATACTTTCTTCAGTGAGTTTGCCTATGATTTATTTCTGTTTATCATTAATAAGCTATAAAAGCCTTGCTGAGCTAGGGAGTTTGGTCTGGGAAATCACCAGCTTCCTTATGCAGTGGTGTGAACCAAGGAGGCTTTGACCAGCCCATTCCTCCCCAACCTGGATACTTGGGGTTTAAATGTTTTTTTTAAAATACTTTTTAATGTTACACTCCATTGCTCTTCTCTCCTAATGCAGACTGTGTCTTAGGCTCATATGGAATCTTCTGCTGT